GGTTTTCTTTGAACACATCTTTCTTAATCAAATGAAATAAAAAAGTGTTATTGAGAAGAGGAAATGCGCTTTGATTGCGACGGCCATTGCGTAAAGAAAAATTCGTTCTCTGATCTTCGCAACTACCGATCAGCGTCTTTCAATCATGGTCCTAGAACAACAACAATTCATGGACAAAAACATTTGGGAATAAGTCCCATTGATAATCAATTTTGCCTTTATTTTGCTGCTCACTCAAGCACGATAACTCCTTACTCAGAATAAAAATTTATTTTAGTGTGGCAGTTTTAAAGGTGCTGATTCTGGCCGCGATTTCAATTTTATACCTAGTTTTGTCCAGTAATTCATCACCTAATTTTTCGGCTATGTTCAGAGTTACCAGTTCTCAACAAGCGATATCTGTCCCAAATACTACCCTTAGTTCTTTGTTCATAATAATGCAGTCATAAAAACATCCACATAATGTTCAAATCAACAAACTCAGGTCACTTCAATGGATTCCAACCTAATCAAATTGCTTATGTTTGGCGTTTAGATCTAAGCCAAGCAGCGGATGCACTAAACACGATGCCGCCATCTGAATAGGTTTGAACAAATGTGTAATGTTGTTTTCTAGCAGTAAACTTCTAAAGCCCTTCGTGTTGTTCCTTCCTAGTTGTTGCTGACTCTTAACTGCGATTGGTTAATTACTGTGTTGTCGCCAATTAGTAAAACAATATGAAAAGACACATTTTTATGCATCTAACACGCAACAAGAAGGCAAGTAATGGTTATATTTAGTTCAGAGGGATAACGTGAATAAAATATCATGAAAACAGTGAACTGGCAAACTATGTACCATTTGAGCAGAATTAAGAAAACTTACACCATGACCATCCACATAGTTTGAAGACAACAAGCATTTAAGTTTGGTCCACAAATGACATTTCTAGTCAGAATTTCATGGCCAAAACAATCTACATTCAAATTTCAAACTAATTTGTTTTATTTCAGCGTCCGTAGTATTACTCTTTTATCCCTCCAAATATCCGCCTGAGGCAATTCAGCAACCTCTGACTTGTATACTTTATATCGAAGTGTAAAAATCAACAGCAAAACTAGACGGAGGCAAATAACTCTTGGCATTCAACCGACTTGTCTTGAGTTGGTAAATTAGGCAGAAATACTTTTGATTCACTCTTTGTAGGCTGATAAATTTAAAGTCAGTAAAGTTAAGTGTTAATAAAATATGGGATTTAACTAATAATCAGTGTATTGACGTGTCCACGTAGGCACACCTATGCCGTTGAAGGCCATCTCTTTGCCTTCAGACAAATTCGACGTCGCGTTAGACAAGGAACGCCTTTCTTCAAACGCAATAAACCTAGCCATTGCTTATTCATTCTCTAGATTTTGCGATGTCTAGATTCTCTAGACAAAAGGGGAGACGGGGAAGCATTTTGAAAATACCATGGTAACAAACGTTTTATCAGGTTACAGGTGTCGATTAAAAATTCCATTGGTTTCAGCACTTCTAGGAATTTGAGACGGGAACACTGTAACGTTTCATGCATGTGTATTCGAGCTTCAGTATAATGTCCTAATCAATAAATCAGGGGTTGTGGGTGACAAAAAACGGTTTAGTGCGTCTAAATCATATTTAAGGTGCAGACGTTTAAGACAGGTAATGCGAATTCCATTTGCTAACCTAAATCGTAACGTGAATGATAAGGTTTGGAAAATTTACGAGTAATTTATCAAAATCATTTCCTGTAACGCACTTTGAAAGAAAATAGAGCAGTCAGCGGTAAAAACACCACTGCTTTTAAACTTTACTTTCCTCTTTGTTTAAAATTCAGTTTATTTTTTTATCCCGACAATTTACCTTGGCAATTCATGAAGCGAAGCATCATTTAAAAGAATATTGTTTTTTAATTATAAATTACCTGCTTAGTGCATTTAGACTTCTAGGGTTATAAATGTTTTGACTAATGCATTTGTCGTTGAAAGCCGAACTCTGATATTCAATGTCAGTGGTTTGAATTAACACAAAATTCTGTATTTGCAAGAATCAGTGTTGCTGTGTACCTAAAAACAGGGCGTTTTTTATGCAAAAAATCATTTATCTCAACCCAACACAAAGTCACTGTCCAGTCGTAAAAAAAGCATTGCAAACAACACGGACACAAAGGTGAATACAAGTAACGAAAGCGAAATGATGTGTCGTCGAAATTGCATCCGCGTTGACAGTGCCTCCCCGGGGGGTTCAACCACACTTCATCACATGGGGCTTGATGGAAAGGAGAGGCACAATACAACATGAAGAAGATGCGAACAGAAATGCTGCATTAAGGTGCAAAAAAAACAAACAAACTGAGATTATAGCATGTGGTATGTCAATAGAAACAAAGCTTACGCATTTGTTCAATCATTCTCACAGTTTTTCATGTACCGTTCAACCATGAGTTTAATGTAACCACTAGGTGGCTGCCTAAAGAGACACAGGCAAGCAAGTATTTACGGAGGTGAGGTGTCGCCAAGTGCCGAGAGTGCGAACAAAATGAGAGGCGGTGCTTTCGATGAAGCGGATTTTTGCGGCAACGCAGGGGTGCGTGGGTGCAAACGAAAAGAACTGAAAAAATGAAGCCTTGGTCTAGCAGTCTTGCTCAATGTTCCTTTTCATGGGTAACGTCAGTCAACATTAGAGACTGGTGCAATTCAATATTAATGAAAGGCACAGCTGTTAGGGTTGCAGTTTATGCATAAGGCAAAAATGCAAAAATCTGCGAAAGCGGTGGACACAATTGGGAGACCAAAGCGAAGGCCTTCTTTGGACTGATGAAGGCAGTTATTGACTGTTTCTACCTTGCAAACTTATCACTTTATTGAAATAACTGTCAGTCACATGTAAGGCAGTGTCACACGAAATTCGAGTAGCAAACGGTGGGGCCTTTACATTGGTGTCTTCAACTTTGATCAAGTTCAGTGTTACACCAACCATTAGTTGGCGGTCATGAGACGTAACTTGGGGTGTCCTCTTTTTCACACTCCTCTAAGAACAATGCTCACCATCCTGATAACTGCTGAGATGATTTCGATGGCTCTCAGATCTCAGCTAGGCCTTCCGATTAAAATTAGACTTCTGTTCTCCTTCTAGATCATTCTAATATCGGTGGACGAACTTGTAGTGGACTGACAGCCGACCCGCGCGAGTGTGCGTGCATAAAGGCCCGTGTGTAGCGATGACTCATCCCCTTTTGTTATTGATTTTTGTCAGCATTCGCCTGTTACGCACGCGTGCTCATACGCACACAAAACCACTTGGCTGGTTCGACTCTAATAAACGGTCGTGTTCTCTGTCGCCTCCTTTTTCCTATCCTCGGGTAGCTACGGTCTGTTAACTAGAGGGTTGTAAGGTAGTGCTAAATCCTCTAGTCACTACAAACTCTTCGCAGACACCTCACCTCAAACATTGCGCGCAACAACCAATCAACACGCTTTACCAGTTTAGCAATCAGTCCTTGGGATACTTTCTTGGAAGAAGAGGTTGAAACGTCCATCTCCATCAACGACAATCAATAGCCCCAATTATGCCTTAGAAACAACTTTTGCACTGATTGAGCTTTGGTGACGACAAATCGTCTTAATTGTCTATTCGCGAACTACAATCACTTAATGTTTGTGTACGCATGTATCGCCAATCGAAACATGATAATGTGTCAAAGCTAACGGATGTGATTTCCCATACGTAGGACGTTTGCGAGTACACCAACCAGGCATAGTTAAGCACAACTCCAAATGCCATCGACTAATCAGTACTACATTATACTTATTAGGAGATCCCAACAAAAGTACAAGTCAAATTGTAACTAGAGCTTTGAAGTGCAAAGTACAAAAGGGAATAGCCAAGAGCACGCGAGATTGCTTAAACCACATGCGTTTGGTGCAAGCTATTCACATGGACACGAACGTAGGCACACTTTGATTGCATTACAAGGGAGCAAGAGGTTGATTTAGTAGCAACGTTCTAGACGACTCACTGGTATGTATGACAAACTGTCAGTGTCTTAAACTAAACCTACCCACATTAGTCATTATAATGAGTTAGGGGAGGCAGCCTCAGCAATTGCATTGGTTAGCTAGGGGTGTCAGCAGATATCATGAGTGAATTCTACCCAAAAGTTGGTAAGAAATCGCTGACAAGCTGAACCATAATTAGCCAAAAGATGAGTACATTACAAATCAATGCTATCTTGGTTATAGAAGCCAATGTTTGCTAATTTCATCAGACAAAAACTCCATTTTTGTCTGTTTGATTCTTGAAAGCGTCGACACAGGATAAAATAATGTCATTGCTGACGGACCCATACGTCTTGATCCGCTCAGTTGTTTCAACGGCCTTGCAAACACCGCGTTATGTTTGACATCAAATATAAAATCCACGTGCCTTGTTATCACAACAAATTTCCCTGTATGTGGACAGAAATGACAGTAAAATAGACGTCCTCGATTCCAACTGTAATTGACAGTCGGTATTAACACACCATTCTTTACTAAGAGCATTAACTTGTCAAGTTGACTTTGCATACGCATTTCATTGAATTAAGAAAGACAGCGTAAACAAATTTACAAGTTGATTGTAAGTTAGTAGTGGATCAGTTTGTGGTCACATAAAATATCTGACTGAAGGCAATTTCATTGAAGTTATTCCCTTAAAATGTGACCATGATTTGAAGGCTTATTTTTCCTTAACTAAGGTTTTATTCTGCCTCTAAGCCTATCATTTGATCAGCTCTGCCTTCTCTCTACCTTTGGTTAATTCCGTTCCCGGATTTGGCATAGGTGCTGCGCCACTGAAAGTACATTTAAAAAATGCAGAGCTTTATAGATGGGTGCAGTGAATGCGCGTTAGCAGTGCGCGTTATAGCTGTTGCAGCTGGTACGCGTTTTATTTGAGTGCAGTTACTAAAGTACCCATGTAATTCATAACTTACTGGGTTGTACTTGATTTGTTTGATGGGATGGATGGTTGTGGGCTAACCGGTGGTATTTCACGTAGCGGGGAGGACGTCTTTGTGAAATGCCCCTCACTGTCTGAGACATCAGACGAGGCAGCCTCGGGTTGGGATGAGGCCATGCTGAAGAAAAATGGGCCTGAGGTGGCAAATTTTGATTTCGATGTCGCAGTAGCTCTGGTGGGGCTAATTTCAAGTGTGGAATCTGCGTCAAGGTGGTAACGCCCTATAACAGACCCCGATGCTTGCTGCTGATCCGTTCGCGTTTGATGCTTGTACTTAAAACTAAAAAAGAGGATTAGACAAATTATCGATTTTTCTACTGGAAGTTGTTGGTTGCACATACCCCAAATTGTTCGCTTATTAAAAGAACAGTTTAACTGGTAATATAAAACAATCATCTGGTAAGAATCTCCCCAGTAAACCCTTTTAGTGACGGTTTCAAAGGACGTCATTTTCGTGTTCAGCGTAGGCACAGCCAGGCACACATCATTAAGACAAGTATCTTTTAATTAATCTAAGTTGAAATGCGTCAGTTTGACTCCATGTGATTTACTCTCACACTGTAGCAAAATTTTTGATTAATTCCTCACCCACGCACGTCATCACTGGCATTAATATGCTCGACTTTCTGTGTCACTACGCATTCTATAAAATGCATTAGTACAGAATCAATGTTTAAGCGTGATATTGTGACAACGTGTTTTCACTGTTTGATCTTTAAAGGTCACCTAACATTTGTAGGTATTATATTATTGTTTTGTTAAAATGATATGCCCGAATTCTTGAATATGATTCATTTTCTAAACTGCCTGCATTAATGGACTCCGTGCAGACCTGTCACGTCACGGAGGCGCGTAACAACAAAATCCACATTCGGCTTAAATCTAGGGCTTGAAGGCAGGTCTGTTCAAAACCGCCTTGAAGTGAGCAAGCATTGCTAGCTTCCACTTTCCAAGGACGACTACGGTCGTTAACACAGTGATGGCAAGCACCACTAAAAACGAGAAATCACATTCACTTCGAGAATCGGACAGCAAAGAGCAAATTTCAGGCTAAATCAAGACAGACAGAGGTCGGATTCTGTCGGGTAAGGCCCGGGTAAATAAGGAATGCAACGTACATGCTACAGTACACCGAGTTGGCGTTGTTCAGTGGGACTTCTGGCAGACTAATTGATGACCAGCAAATTCGATTGGGCGTTTCCGGGATAACTTACTCAGTACGGGACTGATTGTAGGAGAAAAACTAATTAACGTTATCTTCAGGTATTGGTTGCCAGCCTGTTGGCCAGTCGGAACGCCCATATTTTCTTCCTTTACATTCACAAGCCTAATAATAAGAACGCCCTCATTCTGAAATGGTGTACAATTGTTACGCGTGCTTGACCTAATGAGCTCGGAATGTGGACAGCAGTTGTTAATCAAACAAAACCGTCTACCGGGCTGATTTTCGTCAGTAATTATTTTGAAGTATGCAGTGCTCTGACAAATGTCAGAAATAGATAGGATGCGAATTTGTGGTTAGTTTTAATGCTAATTATAGTCCTTTTGTGCTTCTGTTTGCACCCCATACTTGAAAGTATTCAAATAAACGATATCTGCATTTTTAAGTAATGACAATATATTATCGGATTTTTGTAGCTGAATTTGCAAGCTTACTGGTCGAATTCAAATTTGATGTTTAGATCAGCACTTTGCAGATACTTCTAGTTGTATTCTGTCGCAATTCGGCCGAGTTTAAAAAATCCTGACAATAAAATATGTGCATCTGTATGTGGCGGAATGGTGTATGACAAAATAAGCCAGTGTGTTTCACCTGTAGAAAGAGTTCAATGGTGGAGAATTGCATCAGACAAAGTTAGAACTGTGGTTCCCATCGAAACCATGCCCTATGGAAGCCCCAGCGGCCTGTTTCATTAAGGTAAGCCTGGCAAACCAGGGTTTAATTCTACTACTGAAATGTTAAAGACGACAGAACGGCAATTTTGGCAAGATATGGCACCTGCTCATTGACTCATCATTCACGGATTAATTTTCTGCTTGTTAGTATTGTGCTCTGGCGTGTAGATTAGGTGGAGCAATTATATATTAGGCTTAAATTTATCCATTAAAGCGAGGTTTAATGAATTTAGACGAGCCTTCTGTCACTCCTGATTCTTCTATCAACACAAGCATCACCAATCCAGAGAAAAAAGTAGAGGTGCTCAGTTAATACAACTCAACCCTTGGAAATCTTGATAAGTTGTCAAGTAGACGAATTGATAAAAGTCCCTCCGAATAGTCTGTTTAGCTAAGAATGCCTCAAGAAAGAACTCAGACTGTCGCTGTTACCTCTACCAGACACTTGTCCACCATCCCTCCCCCTGGGTCAGACAGATATATCGACGTTCAGATGATTATTTGGTATAGGATCAACAAGTAAAAGCACAAAGTGAAACGCTGGACAAAGAAGAATTCTCGGCTTATCAAAAATTATCCTGTTTAAAGTCGGACTTGCTCTTAACTCGGTTCCTGGAAATTATGATCCTTTCCCCCGTTTAGATGTTGGTGATGCCCCCATTGTGTAACATTTTACAGGTTACACTTAAGTTAACCGTTGTTTTAATTCTGATTATTGCTGATAGTTGTTTACAGGCACTGTTTACGCTGTTTACTGTCATAATTTCATTTGTGTAGAAAAACACGTATATCATTACGAACATTCCGACGTAACAACGAATCCGTTTTAAACGTTAACTGCGGACACTTGTGCTGTGCCTAACTATGACGCGTACCGTTTGAAATGCAACTTAATCCACGATATTGTGACTCATAAGTCATTTATGCATGTCGGCTTTTAAAGGAATAATCGTTTAAGAGCTCCCTGGCAGGAACAAAATGGCCAATTTCAACATCTAAACTCAACAAAGCAACACACGGAGAATAGCTCTATAGGCTCTAAACCGTACTAGTTCCCTCTCCCTTTCTGCCGATTTGACAAAAGCTAGAATTCAAGATCCTGAATGGCAAACTCGGCCACGATTTAACAACCAGCGTTCGAAGCATATTTCCGCAAGACGTGCTTCACTTTGAAATCTAGGGTTGTCATTGCCAGTGTTGACTGCTGGAAGAAAGCAATATTTCCTGAGAACAGGTCTTCTCACATCTAACAAGGACTTTTTATTTAACCCAACAGAGTATTTGTTCTCTGAACTGCAAATTAAACTTGCTATCTGACACTGTCTTGTTTTCTAAAGCTATTAGCAATGCTACCTGAGCAAACATCTCCCTTGCTCTGACGAGTTTTCTTGTTTTAGAAGGAAATAAACAGTTTGCAACAAGTGTCCGTTTAATTAACTTATAACGTCAGATGAAATTAATGTCTACAAAAAGGCAAATTTTAACATTGACAGGAATCTCGAAGAACAAGTGAGCTTTTGCCCATTTGAGAAAACCTAAAAAATTCTGGGAATTTTCGAAAATTCCCAGCTGTTTGCTAAGACAGGAACACTTCGCCATTTTATTTGAAACTTCAAGATTTGGCAAAGTTGTTCGATTCATGTAAAACAAATCGACTGATCCGCAAGACGTGTTCCCTGGGTGGGTCAATTTTGATAATCTTGGCGTTACAAATCACATAGTTATGCTGACCCCTTCGTATATGAATGATGTCAATTACAAACCATTGAAAGATCTTGTTTTGTACACAGGCCAGGTGGAATTTCCAAATAATATGTGCATAGCTAGTGACTAAGCATCCAGTTACATGAGTTTCTAATCGAAACCACACAACCTTGTGAGCCTCATGGGTTTCGTTTTTAGTGTCTAACTGGAGATTTCAACCCGGTTTAGACGGAGCCAATTTGTGACACTCAAGGACTTTGAACAATCATTCAATAAATTGGCACCACACTGCGATTCTAGGCCGCTAAACACGGACTTTCATCTGTGTGACTTACCTGATGTCGCCTTCATAAGCGAACATACTCCAGAGAAGACTTTGCACGGAAAAAAGAGTTGATTTTCTAAGCCTGTGGCCCTTAATTTCGGTGACGACGTCTCCGACGTTAGCTTTGACGCCTTTATAAAACTCGACGGAGTGCATTGTCCTGTGTAACGCTCCGCTGGGAGAGATATCAGTGATGACGAATCCTCCCATCGCATCGTCTTTGGGTCCTAGTGTAACCCCTAAAACGCAGAGAGTTATTCTCTTGATTAATGGAAGCGGTATGGGATCCCATCGTCACCGATATAACACCAAAATTGCATGCCACCAGGTTGTAATTAAAATTTCACACTTTTTTCCGACTCTCCGACTGGTAACACTTTAGTTAATGATGAGGATGATGACTAGCGGATGCACTCGGTTCATGAGTTCTGTTGAGGCGGAACCATTAAGCTATCAGAAAGATCTCATGGGATAGTTAGAAACTATCAAACTATGTGCCTTGGAAAAATCACGCTGCCAAACCGTTCGTCGAATCTAACGGCATCTGAAACAAGTTATTCGGACGTGCTCAACCGATTCTAAGAGCTAATCAAACTCCGTGAAGATGTTCAAGGAAAATGCAGACTCATTTCTACAAAACAGCTCTAAGTGGTGCGTGTAAGAGAATAAAAATGTTTGTCGTCATGACTTTATACAGACTGATATACGGAGATTCAAACTCTATACAAGCAGCGCAAGTGGTCTAAGCGCACTAGTCTCGTACGGATTTGTAGTCATAGATTTTGGCGTTTGCATTTGACCAATTTTGCTTCGATCAGAAAAATCTGATGGCGTTTGTAGTAGACGCGTTGGTGTGTTCGGTGATCAGTTTTAAATGGTGTGTAACAAGGCCAATATGACAACTACTGGATATGTTTTGACGTTTTGGCAACGAAATGCAGTGCATCGTTTTGATTGACGTTCACCAAGTTTTTCGAAGGAAACTCCATCACACTTGCCCTCCTTTCACAGAGAATCCGTCAGTCGTACGAAACAGTCCCCGCACACTCCCTGTGTACTTACTCTGCACATACTAACAATACAACTAGATCGAGTCGTTAATCTTCCTGGCAGTCTGCTTAACGCAAAAGGACCAATAGGACGCAACAACCCCTGTAGGGTTCAAGGCCACATGCCAGGGCCTCCAACAGAACAATTTGTTGGGTGCGTCAAATTGAAACCACTGTTGCACAAAATTGACAGCCCAGAGAACAGGACTGACTGCCTTCAATGCCTCACCCAGAAGTTCCCCTTTTCGTTTGCTGATGATAATCTCAATTGAGTCGTCAGGCGAGGCAAAAGAGACGTCTGATGTGCTGAGGGATTCCTCGCCGAAGTCATCCTGTTGCGTCGTCCTCTGAGTCTCCTCTGACTCCTAAAAATGATTAATACAAGGCAACATTGTCTGTCTCCACCTCCAATCCTCATGACTTGAGTGCGTTAAAAAAAAAATCAAAATTGTCCAGCGCACTTTGCACGAGGACAAAAATAATGCTCAAATGATTTGAAGGGTTTGTTGTTAAACCTATACTCGAGGGTACATCACTCTTTAATAGCACACAAGCCCACAGCAGTCATGTCTGCATTTCAATTGTGATTGGTTCGTTTTTTGTGAACTAATGTTGTCTGTGTTAAAAGTTTATTCAAATTGCTTCAATTTTTAAAAACAAACACACTTAAAAGCAACATCACAAGGAAAATATAGATTTTTAAATGCAAAAATAATAACCGTAACTAAATAAATTGATGTCACGACTTTCTTCAGGGAGGTTCATCACGGTTTACAGAATTCTGAGGGGATTAGCGCCCAACCATTGTTGTCAGAAGTGAGTCGGCAGTAAGTTAATTGGTTTGTCTTAGGTACACTCCACGTAGCGGTGTTTAGCTCAGAGAGTGATAGCAGGCGTTGCAATGTGACGTGACGTCTTTTCAGGCTAAATGCCTGCTCGCTTTACGGCTCAACAAAAGGCCGAACATCAGCTGCTTTCATCCAATTTCTTCGTTTGCTGCTTCGTGCTGTATCTAGCTTCAGGAACACCCCGCTCCACGTTGTTTCATGTGGCCACTCTACCTCTCAGTTAATCCATCTTGACCCCCTAGGTCAGGATCACTCACGTCTAAAAATAATACGTTGTTCACTCGGACATGTCACTTAGCCTTCGGCTTGGACAGTGAAAGCTTACTGCACGAAGTTTAGCGTCCGTCCTATCTTTGGGAAGGTAGTTGGTTCATTCAGTGGCATTCGGTACTTGGGACTGTTTACCGGTAGTAAGCCATTCACGTATTGATGAGATCCCGAGTAAATTTAAGGCAAGTTTTGTTCTAGTGCATCCACGAGTATCAGAAATTGTTAGATGAAAAAGGCAGGATTTATTAGTAGTGGCGTGCAGACACCAAGTTCTAATTCTCAGAACACGATTCCCATTCACTGTAGGATAATTTCTTGTAATGAAATTGCAAGAAGTCATAATTAGCAATTCTAAGATTCCAACTTACACTGATTGAAGGTGTCTATTAAACAAACTAATTAACGCTTCAGCATGACAGGTCGCCAATAACAGGAAAAAGGTATCTATAATTTCAGATCGATACCCAAGACTACATTGCTACCTCTTTCTCCTCGAGTGCATTTGTCGGCTGTTGGTAGCTTCCGTGTGGACCCTTTTCAAACTTCCTTCGAAGATCAGAAATCCTTTCGGGCGACGAAGACAGTATTTCCACTTTCTCGATTCCCGGTTCCAATTCAACTGACGTTGTTTCGGTGTGTGTGAACTCCTCGCTGGTCACCTCGGGAATCGCAGACATCTTGTCTACGCCGAAGGTGGAGGAAGGACGAGCTGGGGTTGGAATGTGTGACACAGGACGACTGCAGACCAGGTACCCAGACCTGCGGGTTTCCTGAAGGGTTCTTGTGAGGAAGGCGCTGTCCCTTCCTCGCACGGCGGTGCCATTGACCTGTGCGGAATGGCAGGAGAAGGAAGCAGTGTGACAATTAGGGCAACATGCGTTGCTCAAACTGCGATTCGCGTAACAGTTACACTTACAAACATCCTTATCGTAACATCTTACTAGAAAAACAAATCCTTGTTTATTAGAATAAGAAGATCCTGTGATGATAAATGAAAGTGAGACAGGTTGACAATTTATTGAGCTAAATAATGCAGTCTAATTTTTACCAAAACACAGGTCTCGTTAAACCCTAATTCGATTAAAGACATTTTGGATTGATTTCTGTTTGAATACGCTCATTTAAACGATTTCCGCGGGAACTTTAACAGAGCAGAAATTAGCAAGGCCACGATTTAACGATTTAAACACGCCATATGATCGACTTTAAACTAGCCACTGACATGAGCGTAAAGTTAATCGTTGTGTTGTACTAGAATTTGAAAATTCAAATTATTTTCATTAAAGTAGGGCGAGCATAGTCGCGGTCACCTCAAGAAGCTCGTCCATTGGTCGAAGACTTGTCTGCGTTCCAATCACACCATCCTCCCGCACCGCGACCAGACGGTGTCGATAGTCTGTCTGCCGACCGAGTCTGTCTACGGTGGCCAAGGTCTCGACGGAAATCCCCAGTGGTTCGTTGGCCGACGGAAGGTTATACTCACCAATCTAACATATCAAAACGCGAATGACTGAAAAAGTTTATATATGCCCAAAAGCCCCGCGTGCATTCAGCTTTTGGTGTCCAAATTATAAAAGAACATGCTTTTAAAGACCCGGATTTAATTTCTCGACAGTTTTGTGTAAAAAAAAACACAGAGCGTCACAGAAACGAATAAATATTTACAAAGTTAGCCTTCCTCCCTGTAATTACTGTTTCCGTGAGATTCTGCTGCATCCATTACGGTCAATTAATTTGTTTTTCCGCTTATTTAGATTAAAGGGCACTAAAACTATTTTCGTTTTGCAAAAGATACCTTTGCCCTTTAAGGCTGCGTGCTGGAAGACAGTAAAAACCTTTTTTTTTGGTTTAGCGCTGTTTTGAGCGGTGACAGCGGGACGTGGCCGTATATAAAAAAAGTTCTTTTGCATCACAATAGGTGAGCAATTTCAATACACACACACACCATGGACTTGTAGGCGTCAGTTATCGTCTTGTCTGTATCAAAAGGCAGAAATTAATACTGAATCAGACCACTCAAGTGCTCTTGAGAGCGCATATCGATTGTCAACTGCAATCAATAGCCAGTGATATCCAATCAACTCGTGAATATGCTTCACTCACGCTCGATCGATGACAGTCTCATACAAAATCTAGCAACTTTTTAATCGATAAGTGGCTTTAAAGGCTTGAGCCAAGCCTGACCTTTACAAGGTAATCCTAATACAACCACTCCATTACCTTTCATTGAAAGAGATTGCGCAGGATCGCAATTCATGCGCACAATCGATTAAATGTCGATACAAGTTGGAAATGCAGGTCACAAACTCACCAAGATTGTGACATCCTCATTTAATGTGGTCAGCCACTCATTTTGCAGCATCGACATTGCCTGCCGATCCATCGCCTGACTTGCGGGCTGTTTATCTAAAGAGACCAATCACATGCCGAGCTGAACTGATTTTTAATCAAGAAGACAGTGATTAAACCCACTTTGCTCGGGGACAATGCTTTTCGCTGGGTAAGCCTGAAAGAATCCGTTTGTCACGCCAGATGGGGATGATGCGCTTGCGTTGTTTGAAACCGTCTCGTCGACATCTTGGAGTGCACAAAAAATGGCTCTGATTGATGGGTGTTTGCATTGCTAAATGACTGGCGCTTTTTAATACTGAAATCATTTCAGCTTCAGTTGATACACACACACACAAATACATATTATTTGTTAGATTGATTTTTGATGGTAAATCAGAAACTCTACATTAACCGAAGAAACTGGCTACTCCAAGCCTGCTAAGGTTACTTAAGTCTACAGTTTATAACACAAAATATACACTTTAACAAGCCACTTTGCTTATTGATCCGTATATTTAGACGAAATCAATTAATCGATTATGGATCAGCAAAATGGAAAGATTTCGCTAACCAACTGCTTTGCAGGAAATTGCCGTCTTGCGCAAATTGAAAAACTGATTGAAATGGCGGCCGACTGAATACAACAGACGGTTGAATTTACACCAGATTGTAAATCATTGTTGTAAATACCGAATCGCAGTTCAGCTTACTTCTCCGTGTTCCGACTCATGGCAAACACAGAGGTTCATGTAGCCCATCTGCTGTACTACTAAATCGTCAACTCAAATGGGGATGCTAAACTGGTAGATTAGAGTTCCGAGAGAAATTGTCGGAGGGCAAACCGCACACCAGAGATAGTGTAACGCAGATCAGACCTTAATTCTGACTGGTCAACAAATTCTAATTTCTCAAACTACTTTCCATTCGTGGAAATAAAGGAATTTTTTTGAATTAAATTTAAAGATGGAACGGGTTATGAATACGATGACTGTTTTAAAAACCACCTGATCACCCAAACTATCACTAAAAGAAATTTTTTTTTAAATTACAAAATACTTTTGAACTGTACCTGACAAAGCAGCTTCGATGACCACTCCACGGTCAATTTCCTGACCTAACAAAAACCGGTAAAAATTTTAAATTAATTGGAAAGGTAAAATGTGCTCAAAAAATCGTCAAAGTAATGAGAAAATTTTAAATACCCAAACCCTTTTTATTATTTCGGACTCAGATAAAATTTCGCAAACTTCCCGAAAAAGTTCAGCAATAATTTAAAATCAAACCGCTATTTCGAGACTTATGCAACTGAAAAAATATTATAATGCAGCTTTTTCTTAACTTAAAAATCAATAAAAAAAATAGAAAAAAATGAATTTCGGAATTCATTTGAAAAAAGGAAAACTTAATATATGGTAAACTAAGTAAGAAAATCCAAAAATCTAGACCATTTAGAATGTACAGATGAGACTTTAGATGAAGAAGGTGAGTTAACTGACAATATGTGCCATGTTATTGGCTGCGTGATTATTAATCGGTCGCCCTTGCAACTGTCCAACCAATCACAAATACTAGATTAGATTATTATTCCTGATGCTAATGTAAAATTCAATTAACACTTGAACTCATCTCCTGTGGTTTTCGTACATCTGATTGGTGACTCACACTGACTACTAACAATTTATTAAGCACAAACTGATAGGCCAGATTACCTCATAAAAATGCTTGGAACATTATTTATCATTAAAAATAAAGTCAAACGGACCTCTAACTGCCACGTGATTGTACAACAGTTGGGTGTCCAAATAATCAAAGATTTCTGTAAAATTGAGAAAAAAACTTACTGTGTCTGGATTCGCTAGGAGTCTCCTTTTTCTCTGTAGCTTCATCTAATCGGAGGTAAAAGGGTGGTTCAACTTAAAAGCATGAGGGGGTTGAGGTGGACATCACGTGGTTTTACGTACCCGAATCTGCCTCCTCAATGACCACACCGCGCTTGATCGGGTCAACTACAATAAGTCAGGTGGCGAAATTAGGCATTTAGGATGTCTAACTACTACAAAAGGCGATTATAATAACGTCGACACTATTTCAACGAATACCAGATTAATGATCGTGCTGATTCACGACCTTCAACGCGATCACAAACCTCAGTTTCACAGCGGCCTCATTAATCTTGCTAAACCGTCTGCTCATGCTCTTCTGTGCGTGTATCCCCGCCATATCATTCATTGGACCGTTCTGCCATTTGTGCTTTTACGAGTTCGCCCAGGCTACATTGATCGACATTCCCATCGGGTCAGAGACGTTTTTTATGCACAATCAGGTTGACCTGTCTAGTAGACGAAAGTGGGTCTGAGTCGTGTAAACGGCCCGAATTTTAAACACATGATGGGGCCTACCAGAGGGCCTACCACACGTGACTTTGTAGCTATCAGACAGAGCAAAACGCAGAACGGTGAATTCAAATTTTTACAGGAGAGAGAGAGTTCAAAGAACAAGGATCGAGGTTATGTAAGCATCGATTTGCTTCCAATACTGGTTGCGCAAAAGATCAAATCTAACCAATTAAATAATTTAACCTTAACCTATCCAACTTGTTCGAACTGTGATAGGTAAGTGAGGCAAAAGAGGCAGAGGGCTAAAGGCGTTAAGGCCAAGGTTCAGTCAGTGGCACACATAAATTCAATCAAATTGAGAATTTTGCAGTAAAATCTCACTAATTTATGTTTTTCAACGCTGTCCACTTTCGTTCTTCGCTCATCGATAGTGCTAATCCAGCTAACTGCGGATTCATCAGACCATGTTCTTCGTATTCACCACTCATACCATGCATCTTAGTACTCAATCTCAGGTTTTAGCAATTAATTCGCTTGAAATCTTTTGACTAACAGCCAGTCTCAAACACGTTCCTGAGGTGAACGTCTGGAACTTCCAACTACACACGGATACGAGTGGATTGTATGTGCAAACACGCCTGATCTTTCCCCAACACACCTGTCTTTCACTAGTTCGGCCGCCATCTAAGGGTTTACAAGCATCATCAGTCATATTTCTCCTGAGAGCAATCTTGAATTTCAAATCACAAATAGTTTAGATCTGTACTTGTCTTCATTCTTGGCTATTGTCCAAGATATACGGGCAGGAAATATGAAGATGAAAACGGAAGTCATGAGGAGAAGAAAAAGGAGAAGAAGAAGACGAAGGGACGAAGAAGTTAAAGAAGGTGAAGAGGACAAAGACAATGAAGAATGGGAAGAAGAAGAGGAAGAAAAAGCAAGGAACTGGCCCGATCGATGTTGGTCAGAGTTAAATGGTTGATTAGTAACAGACTAATTGACATATTTGATAGATTTGGTGGCGATTGCACTTCAACTAATCTCCAGGGGTTCGCTTCTTTACAAATTAGCAATGGAAGTTTAAGGAACGCAGAAGAAGGGAAATGCAATTAGAGAGAAATTGCGTTTGTCAAAGTTTGATACACTGTTCACGAACGCATTTTGAAAACTTTTCGTTTTTTAATGAAGTGATAGTAGGTAACGAGAGAAATTAACTTAGCTCATCGTATTTCCTTCTTAACTGACCAAGCGTTGACGTCTTGACTTACATCATTCGTTACCGAGTAGAGAAGAAATTTGTCTGCGAACAAAGACTTCTAGGTAAAAGAATTTAGTCAATTTGCCTCACAGAGGAGCACTTCTGACAGCGGCACAGGTTTTTAAATAATTATTTTTTTAATCTTTGCACAAACCAGACAGGATTTGTGGGGAAAGATTTAGCCTCTAGTGGCAAAGAGTAAAAATTCGCGAATTAGTGTATGTGGAAGGGGATGCATACTGTCAGCTCTCTGCTAATAGAGCTATAATCAGACCTTATCAAAATTATCTTGTCAGCATTTGCCACACACGTTGTCCACTTAACACCAAAGGTAGTTCAGGTGCATTTTTCCGCAAAACTCAGTGTTTGCCAGGATTTTGATTAACTTTCGAGGCAAAATGAATTTCGTTTTGTGCATTTTGAAATCTTAGGTCGCGTCTCGTTACGACTTTATTTCGACTATCAGAGTCAATTGCTTTGATTTGTCGATAATTTTTTGCAACTCCTTCAGTGATTGGTCCGTTTTTTTTTAGAAAATGCTAAAGTTGCGTGCTATCCTCAGAAATCTTGAGCAAATTTTTATTTTAAGAAGTCGAGTAAATTCGGAACTTTCTGGAAAAAACGTTGCAAAAGGGGCTACGAAGCTAAACCTACCTTTGCCACGAGGGCCACCATACATGAGCAACAGGTCTGTAGGATCCACTAAAGAAAAATACACGCAATTTATGGCTCAAGCAATTTGACTTCCTAAGGTGTTAAATGTAACCAGTTAGCTTTATGAAACGGCTGCCTTTAGCACTTACGAAGCGCAAATGGAACTCTGAAATGTGTGGACATGAAGTCTGGTACACCTTCGGCCACACAAGAAAGATGCCGTTAAATTGGATTGAAAAGATATTTGGACGGATTCCAACAACTACTTACCCTCTCCGGGAGTCTGGTTTACTTCAAATAGAAACGGCGCTTCTAAAAAGAACACGTATAAGGTGACACTGGTAGGTTTTTGCTTGTTTTGAAGAATTTATAAATGATGTACGCACAAATAGGAATTCAACCAGTGCAGTATCACCCATTTTAATTAAGTGACTTGTCAACATCGATTACACGCTTGCGGACGTGTAAGAATTTGAAGAAAAGGTTGTTTTACTTAATGAAGATGCAGATCTTTGTTTTTGAGTGGGTGTTTAATATGAAAAGTAAAATTTTGCAGCGAAATGTCAACAAAAGGGTGTTTGACTTTAAGATTTGACTGCTACAGTGTAACACGAGCAAATCTCAAAGTGTTTGTACGCGGCATTTTAATTCCTAATTGTACAAGCAGTCATTTTTTAAAAATATTTGGAAAAAAACAAGAGTGTGAAAGACTGATACTTCGCGACTGTGATCCGAAATTGTGTGTTAATTGGAAAATATGTTATAAGACCAGGCACTAAGGATAGGACGTACATCTAATTTTAAGATTAGATCGAACAACACAAAAATTCACAACAACCAATCTCTTTCACTGATTCCGATCATAAGATATGACAAAGATTCTTTCAAGACCTGAATTTTCTGCAACGATTAAGTACAGAAATGCACGTTTGTACAGAGGTCAGCAGCCTACATTAAGGTTTAGAGTCAAAGGAGTAGAAATGTTAACATGTGTTACGTTGAACAAATAATCAATTTAAAACACATTTCTCTCATAGTTTGATCAATTAACTCTCAAGAAATCCCGAAAAATGTCATAATCCTCCATGGAACCACAAACTACACTTCAGTGCTATTGACTAACGCAATTTAACTTGAATCACCTTTTTGATTTCAGCCTGAATGCGATTAGTGCAGTGTTTTGTTTAAATTAAGCGGCATGCCTTCCGCGAAAGTTATTGGCTGGTCGCAAAGCCGAAATCAATCAACAATTTTGACTTCGTTTCATCATTGACATCCGCAATTTCACATATTCTTCAACTGGTAAGATAACCGTGTTGGGAAAAAGCCAATTTTTTCAAATTTATGAGTTGCCTAATTCGTGAACATTGATACAATCATTGGCCAATCAGAACAACCCAATCAATTTGCCCAAAATCGTTTTATTCGCGTATCCATTCGCTGTGCCAATTCACTCGTCATTGATCGAAAATGGGAATAATTAATTTAAAAATCATCAAAAATGCAGGCCGACACCAAATTTTTAACTTCTGACATGACTGCAATGAATGAACTACAACGACTGCAATTACAAAACGTCTGCTTTTAAATGGCCCAATAGAGAATAGCCATTTCAGCATCCGGCACTTCAGTTGTTTTTGCCCTCTGCGTAGTCGTCTGCGTCACGAATGTTAGCGAGTTGTTAGTAACGAAGGCGTGGTTAATATGCCTGCGTTCATTTGCATTCGTGATCGGCTGCATACACGAAGTTAAGCCACAAAACAACTTTTGCCCTCTCTTAATGCCCATTGTTAGACTTCTTCATTCTTTCTCTTTCTCCCCATCAGAGGGCTAAGTCACTAATTTGAGAAGTACTCAGCTAAAAACACACGAAACTACAAACAAATACGAATTCCTGCCATGGGTGTTTTTGTAAAGAGGTTTCCAAGACCTTACGAAGCTAGGATATCCGCAGTTGGCAATACATCTATCGATTAACCAATGATTGTTGAAAATTTCAGTTGACCAATCATGAGCCGGCTGAGCCTGAATTTGTGCGAGAGCCAGTTTCAAACGAAAATATCCTAGTTTCTCCATTCTCTCTTTCTCTCCGCCAGAGAGCAAAGTCACTAATTTCAGAAATGCTCAGTCGAAAACACACGAAATTACAAACAAGTACAGATGTGCAGGTAAAATGTGCAAATTTCTGCCATGGGTATTTTTGTAATTTTGCAGCTGTAAAAAGGCTTCCAAGACCTTACGAAGCTAGGATATCTGCAGTTGGCAATACAATTATCGATTAACCAATGATTGTTTAAAATTCTCATCAACCAATCATGAACAAGCTTTGCCTGAATTTGTGTGACAGCCAGTGATAACGTGAAACTTAAAAAAGCTGTCAGACTAGAACTTTTTTTGCTTCTAATGAAGTTAAGACTAATTTTTGGTGGCGCAAGTTTGAATATTAGAATAGTATTATCTAGGTTGAATTCCTTTTAAATGTGTCTAATGTAATGGCATTTTGCGAATTTTACCATCAGGAAATTTCTGTCCATCTGGACTGACAGCATACGGTGTAGCCGCAGACGACGTAGATCGACTTTTCTAAAATTAAGAACTTTGATGTGAACTAGGGCAATAGGTGTGTCCGATATGATGGCTGTATCCGGCCAACTTTAAATACGAAATCATCTCAACGAAGCTCACTGGTAATGCCAATAAATTAGACAATTTGGCATTATGTTGAAACATCATTATCTATGACTCACTGCTGGTTCATTTTGCAAACAGTTACTTCACTTTAGGGGACGAGTCCCTTGTATTATTTTCAAAAAATCATATCTACTTATATTAATAAGTAAACATTTTAAATGTGCTTGCATTCTCTTCCTTGATTTCAGCTGCTAATTTAGCAGCTTCACTCGAAACTGAGCTCCGAGGCACAGTTAAAGACCGCGCCACCGGCGATCGTTGCACAGGTTTCTTAGGCTCCCTCAATGACCGTGAAACTATCAATCTGATTGTTTGGACTGGCGGTTCGGGCGTGATGGGAGGAGTCGCCTCTGCCTTGACAGACGCATGGCGATACACCCGAAGTACCTCCTTAAATGTCTTGTTCATGACCGGTTTCTCGTTGATGTAGAGTATGGTGTCATTCACTTGCAATCGTCCGTCCTTTGAAATATAAAAAAGTGATAAGGTTTAACAATAATAAGTTGTTATGAGAGCCAAGGATGCCTGACAAGTTAAAATTCGAGTTTGTCAATATTGATTAATAATGAAGAGGCTAGTGAACAAGGTAAATTTAGTTTCAAACGGCGTTGCTTAGTAACACGCGGCATCCTCGTTGGTGACAAAACAAAACAAATCATACCTAGATTTAACTGTCAGTTACTCATCACCAAAGCATGGCGTATATTATAAACAAAAGTCTGCAGGGCACAATATAATTCTCCATCGAAAAAGGTAAGTAGTCATTAATTTAATTTAGCTAAAATTAATGAATGTCCGTTTGAAGAATGTGAGATAAGAAACAATACAAAGTAGGACCATTGTACCATTAATCGTGTTTGTCCTGATTTATTCGTTGTTTTAATTTTGCCTCTGATTGAGCGCCGCTTTCAACTTGCCCACTGGACGAGCGATGCTTATGTCATCAAGTTACGTCTCGTTCAAATAGCGTTAGACATGTATAATGTCGTTCAGTGGACAACTTTTAAGTGGTGCTCAGTAAGAATCAGAATTTCAACAACGGATAAACTGAGACTATCATTTTAGATTTTACAACATGCTCTTTTCTTAATAAACAGTTTATCTGTTCAACCATTACTACTGATAGCGAATCAGTAGGATCGAGTGAATGCTACTGCATCACCCATCATGTTTTAGATTATCTTTCTGATAATCAGTTTTAAATTTTTGCTTGTTGTCTTGTCTACACATCAACGAGCTCATTGATAGCCATAGATGACGCCAACACAGCTTGCATCCGACGGTTGCCAGAATAACAAGCTTCCGATTTGCAAACACGCATTTGGCAAAACTGTCAAAACTACAAGTGACAGGAGTTATTTTCCACATCATACGGGGAGATTTCTCCGCCAAAAAACATCTTGTCACGTGACATGATGACTTGGCACGACAGCCGAGTGATGGCGATGCATGCCAGAACAGACAGACCAATTGTGTGTGTGTGACAGACAAATGCCCGCCACCTCCCGCTGCTACCCCAACTACTGCATTGACAGCCGCGAGTAAAACTAAACTTTGACCTCAAAAAAATTAGTGCGTTGCAGTTTTAAACACAAATGACTCATCATCAACTTCAATCAGCAAATATTAAGCTCTCTCAGCTTCCTTTAGGAAACCGACGCCACGGATTTTATTATTGAACAGAAGGATGGAGGAGAATAAACAGGGTGTTAGTGAAGCAAACTTTTTTAAACAAAACAAAAATTGACGTCTTGATGGTCAAACTACACACCATGTCAGACGGTAGTTCTTCACGATCACTCTCTGAGCCAAAAAGGGCATGCTGTCAGAAGAATACTTGTGTGACATTTTGCTCATCATAAGTCAATTGCAACTTCCGAAGTTTCTCAATGAAAAAGCGTTTCGAAATGAGGCCAATTGTGTGCGCAACGAATCCCACGTGTTACAACGGGTTTGCCGCAGGGTCTCATTTAATTAGCACAATCCAATAATTGGCAATTTCTGTGCCACATCAATCGCAGAAATGACTGCAGTACACAGTTTCACGTTACCTGTAACAGTGGTAGTCAGACGACAAGTAAATTGGGAGGTGAGTTTTTGACTGTACTGGTTCGTTTTACAAATTGAGTCTTCGTGTTGGGTGAGACAAATTCACGATTAAACCCGAATTCATCTCATATCACATAATCTACGATTTTACAATATGCTTCTTAACTGTTGTCATTTAAATGAAAGTCACAACTCGGTTGACATGGGAAGGCCCATGCCATGTTAAAAATACTTTTTTATGGCATAACTGACTCGTTATTTTGATTAGAGCTAATTGCAATTCGCCTGGCAAGCTACACCATGTGGATAACCGTATGTTAGTGTGTGGGTGCGTGTGGTTATCTTGATACCGATTGGCCGTTAACTATCCAATGGCCTTTCACTTTGTGTCTTTCAAAATCACTCCCATTTTAGCCAGGTCGTCTCAAATTTTTAAGTGAAATAGAAAGACGTTTAATGACCACCTTTAAGACAGAGGGTGTGTCAACTTGGTAAAGGACTCTCTATTAAGAGTTTGTTTCTTTCCTAGGTTAGAATTCCGCGTTTTCACGGCAGCGTATTTTCAGATTTTTATCTGTGAAAAATTAGTCCCACAATTTTTTCCAGGCATCGAAAAAGACGTGTAGTTGGTAGCTGAGTTTTAAATCCAAAATCAGACAATCTAGCCACCTCTTTGCGAATTGTGTTCGTGTGGAGCATTTTGCCAAAGACCAGCAGCATGTCATCAAAATTTCCTCCAAGATTTTAACTTATTTTTACGTTTGATGGCTCTTTGTTGTAGTAAAGGGAGCCATAGACTTAATGATAAGGTTGACTGGCATCTCAAATGTTTCGATAAGTCGTGCGCGGATTTGTTCTTGTTGGGAATCCAGTTTGTCTACGTTCACTTGTTCTCTCTTTATGATTGTTGCCAATAACCACCAGATCCTTGCTTCAAAATTCTGCATATTTCTGCGATATCAATTCGTTGAGCAATGTCCATACACAGAATAAGTCAGCATTTCACTCAAATGCGATTTGGGAAGGCATATCACATATATCCATGCAAAGTAACGAATCAGCACATTTGAAAAAAAACACTTGATTGAAAAGCACGTCGGAAAAACTGCTAATGAACTGTCCACTACAAGAAAATACTCGAGCCAGTGTAAAGCAGTGAATTGGGGGACCTAAAGTTTTACCACAACACCATATCGGATTACAGAATCCTGAGTGATGTTATGCTGAATTTTGTCAATTACTTTAAAGGTCCAGCACACCCATAAGATACTACAACAACAAAAGAAACTGTTGAATAAGATGAAATCATTTTAGTTAAAGCCAGATAAATAGGATTTGGATTGATAGCCAAGGACAGTCTAGTGAACAATACTAACCTTTAAGATCGACTGAACGGATGCAGACTTACTGGAAGCACAGAACGTTTTGATATCACCAGCTGGCAAAAAGGATACAATCGCTCGCGGTGAATGTATACATTAGCATGCTTAATGAGATGGCGTATGACTGTGATTGGTTTCGACATTGCTTAAATATGACAAAGTCGCCATTACGTGGGTCGAATTCTCTGTATGTGGCAGAGGTGAATCAACAGAAGCTTGTTGAGCAATCCGAAACTACTGCTTTCAACTCAGAACCCTGGAATACTTCTCTTTGCCGAACTTTCGAAATTCTACGAATGTGCGTCATCAAAGTAGAGAGACTAATTAAATTGCATCAGACCTTTCAGCAAGCGCAACAGGTACCGTGTGTGTTGGGTTTTTTTTTGAAACTTTAGCTAACTCTCTATGAACCAACTCGACGTGGTTTGCTAAAATAAATTGTCGCCTCACAACCTCTTAAGACTACTTCGAAAGTAAGCATTAGTAGTCATTATTCCTTATGACGGAAAATGACGCATAGCGCGCAGAAGAACGCTACCGATTTATATGAGTAGACAGTGTGTCCGTCACGACACAGATGACCTTATCAGGAGTGAATTGAACTTAAACTAAGTCCAACATTTTCACCCTTTAAGACACAATTAGGAGAACACACTGGCAGGATTGGAGAATGTTTAAAAGTCACGCGCAATTACAATTCTATGTCATCAGCGATTTTAAATGTTGAGACGCGAATGAATTAAACTCACGGTCTCAGCAAGTTCACCTTTGGCCAGACGTTCAACACGCGCGCCCAGTCCATTCGTAGAAGGTGTTAAGAAGGCCCCAATACCGGAAGTGGTTTTGGGAAAATCTATCATCTCAATCTCCATCATCTCATCTTCGATCTGAATGAAATTAAGGATCAAGCTCAACCTTACGCATAATTTGAATCCCTATCCAGATCTGCAGCCTTTAAAAATCAATTTAAAAATCGATTAGTTTGCTAAAGTCGATTGCGTTTTACCTTGATCAAGAATTCTGCAAATTTGAAACGCATTTTATCCAGGTGACATCAGCGGAGAGTAATGAAACTGTTGTGAATCGTGTTTATACACACTTCTTAATCCGTTCGCTCCATCCTCCGACGCAGGGTCCCCCTTTTCGCAGCATGTCACCAGCCGCGCGGATCCTCAATTCCCCCCTCATTCGCACGAATGTCTATCTTGGATTATCTTTTCACTTAGGTCTTGACGTTAGCACATCTGAGGTATAAATACACCCCCGCAATTTCCACTTACGACACAACGACACCAGCATGGTGGAGCTCTGAAGTAAACGGTTGTGTCCACGCACTCTCCGATCTTTTTCTTCATCGCGGGTATCAGGGAAGCGTAATCGGGCCAGAGTTAATTCAGTGGCCCCGGCGTGGTTCAAGACCACATGCTGGGGCCCACAATAATTGGTGGCCCCGACGTAATGGAATGGTTCTTCATATCCCATTACAAAACCTTCTATTTATCTATGGGGTACCTGGAATGACGGTCTACGAACAATTTCTCAACTCTCATCCGCCAAAAATTCCTAATTTCTGATATAAGCTCTAATGTTTTGCAATCTGGCAGAGCTCAACTGCTTGAAGACATTACTGACCGTAAAAAACAATGGAAATTAAGGCTGAGTAAACAAGTAACAGCTATTGTCATCGTCATCACAGAATACTAAAGACTCACCTTGTCTTTAGGCATTTTAAACTGCTTGTCATTAGAAACACTATGATTTGCTGGTAGTTGTACCGCGTCGTCAAGTTCCATTACAGGAGTGATTGACATCGCCGAGGGAATACATCGAGCCACCGTGAGGCTGATGGGGGGTCTTTTTGGGTCTTTAGATTGATCCACTTCTTCAGCGGACTGTTGATTGTTCACCCAGATCTCAAGAAGACTGGCTACGATCTCGTAGAAGGTTGTCACGGCGACAGAAACTGACCTTGCGTCGTGGTCCACCAGGTCAGCATCACGGTTCAAGGCGTCCAGGGTCTGATCGTCGAAGACGATTCCATCGATTGCCAAAATTCGATCGCCGATCGAAAGGGATCTAAAAGTTGTGTCGCTATTGTCAACTGTCGCATTCAGAAACTAGTAACGATTTCGACATTAACTTACGCTGTGCCGGGATTCTCCTGCCTAACTTTGTATATGTACAGTCCTTCGTTTCCATAATTTTGGCGGGGACTTCGACCAAATCGCAGTCCCATGCACTTCCAATTGCAGTCGCTCTCCTGCGACTCGCTCACAGAATTCCGACGGTGTCTGCGTGAGGACCGACGTCGTTGGCATTCTTGAAGAAAGTTGGTGCCAGGATCTGTGATCTCAAGATCGAGGACTTCAGCGTCCCTGGGTATTGTCACTTTCTGGATTCGCTCTCGAAACTCCGTCCCAGTACATCTCAGTTTTGCAAGGGTCTGGGGACTAAGCTGGCGTCGTTGTATTCGCTTCTGCCAAATCAGAGAGAAAATGACGCTAAACGAAAACGTGAACTGATAACAGGTACCTGTTCCATGAAAAGTATATTTTTAAGAAAGTTGAGTCACGTGAGGAATTTTAATGATCTTGCTGGATGCCGCTATTAAATGGATTTCGATTCCAATGTTTTGCAAGACTCCAACCACATAGTGCGGATTGAAGGGGAAACCTCGTTTGATTTGTAGGATTGAAAACCAACTTGGTTTTAAGCCACCTTGGAAACACGAGTGAAGAAATTATGGAAATCTTCTTGCCTAATGCAAAATTGACATAGAATCTAGAATAGGAGCGTGTGAACTGATTGTGACTGCTTCGCCTGGAGTCGATTGCCCGCCGCGTTTAGACTCCATGCGTTTTAAGACTGCCAAGCTAATTCTAGGCCATTAAATGTGAGTGGTGCATGTAGAAGAATCAGTTTCCCACGTTCAGTGCTTAGTTAAACTGGCAAAACTGCGTCTGAAGTTGATGTCACCTTTTAAATTAAAGCATTCCAGGGGGTTCGGTTGCGTGATTGTTCCGACAAGGTAATAACCACTCGCGACAAGGAGCAGACCGTGAGGGTTAAAAAGGGATCTTTTAAGTACGATTTATTTGTCCTCGCTGTGTTTGAATCTAATTAAAGAACGAATGAAATATAGTGTAAAAATTCGCTTAGAAATGAGGGTAGGTGTGAAACAAACTTAGCAAGCCTACCATCGTTTGTGGCCGCGGAAAAATTGAAAGCATTTGGACAATAAAAAAGATTTGCATCTTTGAAAAGTTTTCTGTAATTTCACGGATATTATATGCTTTCACTAACAAACGTAAGAAGACTAACTTGTTCCTTATATATTATTTATATTATAATGCCAAAAAATCACATCGGACTAGATAATGAGCTACAGGACCTGTGGACTGTTAAACCGATATTTAAGTGAAATCAACTCGCATAAAATACGCAACACGGTGATTACTGTATTGACTCTTTCCTGTTCTTTAACCTCAGAACATGATTTATTATAGTTAAGACTTGTTTTTCCTCTCAATTGGCTAAAAATAATTTAGTATTATATTTTCCATGTGCTAGACGCTTAATTAAAGCTAAGTATAACTACTCTATAGTGATTAATCAGCTCTGGACCTAGTAAATGCTAAAAGGACAACTATAGGCGGTGTTTTTGGCCGTAAAAATTGTCTACATTTAAGCCTGATCGCCACTATCTCATCAGAAATTGGTAAGCCATTTCCTGCTTGATTCTATAGCCCATGTTAAATCCAAAGACTAAGTCTTATGCAGACGACTTATCCGGTTTTAGTTTATAGGTACTTCATAGCCTAAATCCAGTAAATTAGGGTGACAAGCTTATAGCTCTGGAATATGGTTGGAGTTCATGGAAATGCAAAATGGTGCAAATTGTTTTAAAAACCTCAAAAATAGCATTGTTTGAGTCCTACAATTGCAGTAAAAAAGGGCTTCAATTTTTGCATTAGTTAACCAACAGCCAAAAGATTTGTAATTTAACTGCATCTGACAACGACAATAAGTTTGATTCTTCCATGAATTTAATTGAACACTTATTCTCTGTTTATTTGCACAGTCCTACATCTATAAATCTGTCTCCCTATTTAAACAAATTATAAACACATTTAAAATATGAACAGGCCTTTTAGCCAACGGGAAAAGCTTTCACAAAGATCTTGTTGGGCGATGTTAGACAAAAACAGAAATTAAAGTGAAAAGCTTGTCATGTTATGCCAGGGATGCTAGAACTATAGCCGTCTAAATGATTTAATAGCATGACTTTAAATCATTAAGTTTTACTATCTCAAATTATTTCATATTCGGAGAACAAAGATTAAGATGTAGGTGCACACAAACACATGATAACAAACACCCGCATTTGTCTAATTCCTAAAACAACGCACAGTGTCAGAATAGCAGTAATACTGAAACATGAGTATGCAAACAAGGTAGATACTTTCATCCAGAAAAAATTGTTGATATAATATAAATACATGGCTTTATGCAAAAAATGCTGATCACACGTATCACTCATTTGGTTATATGCATGTCGTGCGAGAAAGTGCAGAAGAACGGCGTGGCATTTATTACATATTTAGGTCTCGCCCGTCATGGCAAGATGTACTAAAGGTTGTCTGGACCCCAAAAATGAATTTGCAAAAGACAGTTAACCTACAATTCGCTGCATTCGTATTGATAATCTTTTATACTGGTTTATGCGCATTAATCGGTTTGCCAGAAGTAAAATTTGCCGCCACTGAGAAAAATCATGAAGATTAGACAACTTTAAGCGACCCCCGAAGCGCTGTCTGTTTTGATTATTACCTAAATTTTTTTCTGCCTTAAATTGAATTCAATAGAAAGCATGCCATCATTGTTTACATCCCAAGTGTAAGGGATTTCTCAGCAGTAATGTCGAATTCACACAAAAAATTGAATTTTACTCTTCTAACAGCCTTTGAGGAAACTTACTGCTATCATATTTTAATTGAATTGTGCTGGTATTCAAAACATGTCACTGAGGGCAGATGCTAGTCATATGAATACAAAACAGAAAACCAATATTTATTTCTATTTCAGAAAAAGACCGAGTTAGTAACCCTCCTTAAATTACGTTTGAATTAATCTAAACTGATATGACTGACGCATTATTTAAAGCACAATGAAAAATTTTTCTTTGAATGCTAAATTTACTTATGAAAAATTTTGATGATTTTGCAGGGAGATTTAAGGTGACACGAAGGAAATTAAACATTATTTATAAGATTAGGTTCACTATATGCGAAAAACAAAAAGTGAGCTAACGCGTGTTTACTTAGATAAACTAACAACTTTTGTTCTGATAAAAAATAAAACATACAACCCATGTCAAAGAGTTTTGAAGAAAGATTCCAAACCAAATTTCCATCATGCAAGTGGAAATACAAATATAAATAAAAAATTGAATATGAAATCTTCTTACTTTTCTAAATATATATTCCTCGTATCTGTATCTTCTTGTTACAATTTCCTCGAAAAGATGGCTATCCGTTACTGCTACAAGTTTGTTTAATTGATGGTTAAAACTGCTGTCGCCTTGCATTGGATATGAGTTTCGAATTATGTGTAAGTACCTTCTCACCTTTTCCAGATCTAAACAAAAAATTATCTTTTCTATGCAGATATGCCTTTATTGTTCATTTTGATGCATCAACTTCATAGGCTACAACCAGAGCTATTTGTAACAGTTTCGAAGTCCTTCTGGAATCAAGGACTAACTTAGTTGTGCGAAACAGCCTATTAAAACATCTTTCATATCACATATTTAAATCTTTAAAGCCAATGTAAACGCTCAAAAAACTAAACAAGATTATGCTATTACATTGGCTACACCGATAATATTAGTTAGAACACACTGCGAATTTTTACATTTTTGACGAATCTGATTTCATTTAAAATAGATCATAAAGTCATATTTTTAAATCAAAAACAAAAAACTCAGAATTGTGCTAGAAAATATTTTACAATATTCTTATAATATCTTGACACACTTTTGGTTGTATGTTTGAATCAAAATAAACATTTTCAAAGGTTGCATACTAATCTTAGATATATTGTTGTTATTATTATTATTTATATTATTGCCTTAGCCTAAGGTTTTCCGTCCAGGCTTTAAAGTATCCTCTGTTAACACATTCAATTTGAATATCTATTTAGCCGGTTTTTGATTTTTCAGCAGAATTAATTAATAGTAGGAAAATTCTATTGCTGTTAACTTAGAAATCGGATTACCTCTAATTTCTTAAACATCAAATTGTAAAAAGAGTGGATCAATATTCCCACTTGATTAAAATTAATTTCGTGTAATTACTGGAAATTGCTTTCAAATAAAATGACCAAAAATATACCGACGTCATGTTTGCCAAATGCAATTTGGTGACCAGCAGGCGAGCACAGCTAGCAGTAGTAAGCAAAAGCAGTAAGCAAGAGTGCGAAAAAACGATTAAATCGATTTTTGTTAATGTACTTCACGCAACTACGTTCGTTCAGAGATTGATGCTTAGCAAATTTATATAAACGCACATGCTATCCTATGCACACACCCCGCTTCTGCATCATAAATAAGTTGAGCTATGCGCCACCTGCCTTTTTATTCTTCTTTTGGTCAGGCCGTGTCAGTATAGATTGTCGGCCCTGGTGTGGTTTAAAAATTCACATCGGGACCCGCTTCAGTAATGACTTGAGATTTAGCACCACCTTACAACCATCTTGTTAACAGTACGTAAGAACTCAAAAATGGAATTAGGAGAGGCCACAGAGTACACGAACGTTTATTAGCGTCAAGCCGGTCAAGTGTATCTCAGTATGGGGATCAGTGAAAGGATGACAGGAATTTGATAATAGTAATCAACGGAAACGTGATGAGCCATTGCCACCGACGGGCTAGCAAACGGGGTTAACTCAGGCGCGGTTGCTGTTAATCCGCTAAAAACTCATTTCCCTAAATTTCGATACAGGTTTTCTTTTGCAATTCTTTGAGTTTTGGACGCACTTAATGTGGCTAAATTATGCTTTAAAAAAATTTAGCCTTAAAAAATTAATACCGCAAATTTCATATGACCTTTGTTCAAACAGTTTATATGCTTTGTATTTCTTCCAATCTCAATTTGCCACTTTTTTGGCGTTTTGATACAACATATGTTTTACTGTACGATTGAGGTTGTTCTTTTCGGTGCGACCTTCAAATCAATTTCTTCGCGATTTTGTAAGGGATGTTTGTTTTATTTTGCTGGGTGTCGTCGCCTTACGTAATAGTAGTTGGTTTTATGCTTTGATTAGCTTTTGCTTAATATAGATTTGTAAGTCAATAGGATTGATTCAATGAGGCAGTGGTTTTACCCTCAAATGCTTCTCTGTCATTGTTCCACTCCATGCCTTACTCATGCCATTTTTTAACATAATTTTCAACTTCCACCATAAAATCTTAAAAAGAAGGAGGCATTTAGTGTGTCCAAGTGTTTCTTTTTTATGACATCAGTAAGTCTTGCCTCTAAGCTCTGTGTCTCCCCAGTTTTGCAGTCATCCTCTTTTGGCTATGTAAGCTTTTCCTGAAATATGTAGTTGCTTTTTAATGTAAATAATAGGTTTAATCCATGTAAGTTCTTGGAAACAAATATTGGTCACCTAAAAAGCCAAAAATAATTTTTCTAATAAACGTTCCGCCTCCTTTCACTTTTCTGTTTTTTTAAGAATTATGTTTTTAAGAGTTGTGTAAAATATTTTTGGTGATTTAAGTCGTTCTTAAGTTACATTTACGTTTTCTGGGCACCTGAAATGTTTTCGTCAACTTAACGGTGGTCTCATTGTAGCATGTCGAAACCCATGGATCCACCCGCTGCACCTCCTCCGTATTCCGAATCAGCTCCCCCTTACCCCGCTACTGCACCCCCTGGTAATGCTCTTTAATCAGTACATGTTTAGAAGACATAGATTAGGAGGAAAGTAGTTGCGCCACGGGTTGGCGAAAAATGTAGGCGGGAATGATATTCTGTGCTAAGGGTCCTGATTCCTTTAACTTCGCTCCCATTTTAGTCGCTGTGCTTAATGTAATTACTGGCTGATAATTTGTGTTTAGTACCAGATTACCTATTATTTATTCTTGAGTATTATTTCGATTCAGATTGTTTAATGTGATATCCTAAACCAAAACCGGACATAGCTTGTACGCCAATCTGATAGGTCTTAATTGTGTATGCATTTAAAATACCCTTTGCTTTGATTTTTTGACGAATGTTTTGTTGACAACAATTTATAAGTTTGGGTGGTTTGTTTGCCTGTGTTTTACCCTAACTCCTCTTTATTTTAAGTACATTGATTGAGATTTACGATGTAAGTATCTAAATGCAAATTTAGGATTAGAGTCTAGGTGGCTAATTTTAGACACAGGGAATTAACAAGGTCCAAAATACGCGGCTGTTGCTTTTCTCTGTAGGTTACCCACCAGCCTCTGGCTATCCTCCAGCTTCTGGCTATCCCCCAGGTCCTGAATATCTATCGGGTCCTGGCTATCCCCCGGGTCCTGGATACTCTCCTGCTGGCCAACCATACCCTCCTCAGGGTTCGTAGTTTCACCTTTTTTTAATCTTCAAAAAATGTTCTAGTGTTTATGCTAATCTTACACACGCGCGTGATTCATTCGTGTCCCATGGCAACTAGCTCTACCGGTGGTAAACAGTGCCACAACACTGGCACGTCTAAGTGAATTGGTCCTTCCAGTCAAATTAACCTCGCACTTTTTCTAATAACCTCCATCAATCTGACTTGACTCTTTATGCATAGTGGAGCCATCTAGTAAACGGCTGTGCCTTCGCCATTTCTAGTCTTCTTGATCTTCTCATGTATCCCTGAGTCGACGTGATGTGTGTGGTTCGGAATCAAACATTGAAGTCCTCATCAGTTTACTAAGTCGTCCTAATGTCTACTTAGCCATGCCGACCTCTGTGACCTAATGAACTGGCTTTTGCCGCTCATCTCAAAGCGTCTGGGAAAATCCCGACACCACTCATGTGATGCGAGCAGACATGGTACATCCATTGTCACCTCGGATTGTTTATGAATTCGGTAATGCGCCAAAATTGGGCTCCTCTTAGCTCAGATTCGCTACACCCACTGGTACGCGCTTCGCACTGTACCCACGTTCTAATTGATGAAGTATTTTGGTAAATGTATTACCCTCTCGCAAGTTGTGTTAGAAGCATCCTGTCACTGTAACGATGGTACCAGACTTTCGTGACCTCAATCGCCTTGTTCTGTGGGCGTAGGCTCTCAGTATTTGTGCCCCTATTCTATTCATCTACCGGCATTAAATTATTTAAATGCTGAATTTGTTGATTTCAACGGTTTCCAGTCCAACTGCATGGTTAGTTATCTTGTGTTTTTCACGTTTTTATGCTTACTCAACTCTTGATTTTCTTCAGGTGGGTACAACGCTGTTCCGCCAGGGCCCTACACACAGCAACCTAGTAATTCTTTGTTGTTTTTGCATTTATGATTATCGGCTGTATTTTTCTTAAATTGGCATTGTTTACATCCGAACATGTGATGTCCGTTATGGGTTTGGGGACACATGACCAACGCTGACGTCCTCCAAGTTTGGCATGCTTCTTGACGCTTCCGAGAACCTTTTCGAACGGTTAACTGGCATCAATTTCCCTTCTGCCTTATTAACTCTCGTGATTCGTGGCTGTTTACTTGGCAGGTACCAGCGCCAAATTCACCTAGTGGAAGCATGTCTTTCGTTTTGATTTACTTGTGGGTTGCCCCACTGGTTGTCTCACCTACGTTCTTCCTCTAGGCACCGTGGTGTACGCTGTCCAGAATCTGGGACCCGGCCCATCGCTGTTCTTCTGCCCCACCTGCCAACAACAAGTGACCACCAACATCACCTACGAGTCTGGGCTTCTGACGTGGATTTTAGTAGCGTTGATCTGCTTCTTCGGGTGCGTTTACACAGTCATTCTGGTTTCCAACTACTCACATCGTAAACTGCTGGCCTTGTCGTAGCCAATCAGCTCGTGCGGGGCCATTATGTGCTTCTTTACCTCCAGCATCACCAGTGTTCTTACAAGAGCGCTTTATAATTCTTACAACGCTATTTACAGCTCCCAACTAGCAGCATTTTCTAAAGCCTTGTCTAAAGCCGCCACGTCGAATGATTATCTCGATTTACATGTCGTAGTATCAGTAAAAGTCACTTATCTATCTGGTAACAATCCACTTAGTCTACAAATGTCTATCTTTTCAAGCGACTTCATCACGTGTCTTGTGCTCACAAAGTTGCCAGGCGTAGTGCGGTAGCAAAACACCCTAACTTAGTTTTCTGTGAAAAATCTGAGCTCTCAAATGCGTTTTTTTTATTGTGTGAGTCAAAACGAATTGCTCTATAATAGGACCTGATACTCTACCCTTTCTTTTGACGTTATTTCTCGATAGTTTCAAGACTCTTGTTTCAAATATGTGCCTTCCAGTTGTCAAATTGCATCTACTCCTTATTCAGGAGCCGTAAATTTTCACACAAAAAAACATTTTTTGATGAACTAATTGTCATGAGATGATTTGCGACATTAATTTGTGTGTGCTTCCTGTCAGTGGGAGCGTTTTCGCGCTTAAAAAATCGTGCTGCAGCGGGGTTTAACCAGTGATTTTTAATTTCCTACGCATTCACGTTGTGCGAAGGTGAGTCACTGGCGTCGTGTAACTGGCCTCACAAAGAAAATTTATCAATGTGTTTATTTGTTTTGCTGGGGTGGTTGACCCTTTAGCCACAAATAATCTTGTGAGCCATTTGTGACCCCGTTTCGTAAAACGGATTCGTAACGATTCTTCGATTTCGGCGCGTCCTACACATGGTGGTGTCATTACTGAGGGCACCATTGCTTACGAAATTCGCATTGGAGGCATCGTAAAGCACACAGTGGACTTAAATGCCTTTGTTTTGACGTCAATTCAGCTCTTAGTCGCTTCTAAACATCTGGGCTGTTACTTTACGGCCCTCATTCCTCGTTAGTGCCAGCAACAATGGATGGGGGGTAGTAATGGTGTGGAAAGACAAGACTACAAAGTTAGCACAACCCTTGCACCATCGTTTGAGTATTTGTCGAGCATGTGCAAATACTGCGGTTAGGCTGTGTGCGTGTGTGTGTGTGAGTGCGAGCTCAAATAAGTCCACCACAAGTGCAGCACGACGTCCATGTGCGATCGAGTCGCAATTGTGCTGTTTTTGTTTTGCGCCCAGCTGCTTCATCTGCTGTGTCGTCCCCTTCTTCTGTGACTCCATGAAAGACATTGTCCATTACTGTCCCATCTGTGGGCGAACGCTCGGTGTGTTTAGAAGGATGTGATTGACCCCGTCCCGTGCCCACCGCCGCCGAGGTCTCTGTTGTATTTATGTGATTGCGTGAGTGTGTGTGTTGTATTCCCGTTTGTTCATCGTTTTGCCCTTGTTTTAGTGGCTTTTTCGGATGTTGTCTGATTCCGTTGTGTTGCGACTGCGACAAGGACGTTGTGCACAGTTGTCCGCGATGCAAACGAACCCTCGGCACCTACAGCCGCATGTGATTTGTCTACGATGGGTTATCAGTGATCCGGTCTCTTTTGTGCTTGTATTTTTTCTCGACAATTCCCAACCCCCTCCCCCCCTCTCTCTCTCTCTGTAACTGACTCGCATTGATGTTGGCCTCTATTTTTACTTGCATTCTTACTTTCTGGGCTCCGGTCGTCAGTGGAAAACAAAAAGTGGAAATGGAACGGTTTATTTGGCTGTTTCAGGGAAAAGAGAATCAATCAAAGTTGTCCAACCTCTCATCGCTTTCAATTTAGGTAAAGACAGACCGTTAATAATCAGTGGACATGTAACTATATCTCACTAACACTCTGCGGTCCAGCAGAGGTAGAGAAAGTCCGATTTCCGATTACCTGATAACTCATGAAAGATCTGAGTAGGTAAATAGATTTCTCATAATAAAGCTGATGGTAAAGGTGGTGCATTCTGCCGTCGAAATGAGCTGACTTGAAATAATCTTTAAAGTGGTGGAGGAATCCCCAGTTGTGCCTAGATTCTGGTTGTCGTGTGAAGCGCATTAGGACTTGTCTGAGTGTCAATACGCGCCTACATTTCATTCATATGTGGGAGTTATTTTCGTAACCTGTATATTAATGGCTGCACATCAACCCATGACTGTGCGTGTCGGTTTGGATAAATTCCGGGTATTTTACTCCGGAGGCGGCCTTTGGCACAGGGGTGGTTTCGGGTGTGCCTAAGCGTAATCTCATTGCCATAGTACTTCCCGTTTGGTTAGTAATCGTGAGAGCAAATGCCGATCTGTGACCTGTCAGGGTATCGGGATGTTGATAGGCAATCGATGCGACTGTAATTCGTCCATTCGCAAATCGCATTTCTAACATCAAAAATTCGAATCTGCTGAAATCTTTCCTCAGCGTAAGTGTTGGCGGCTGTCTCCAAATGTATGACCGAAAGTGCCAATTCGGGAGCCCTTTTTCTCCAAGGACGGCCTTCACGTAACCTCATTCGCATTGTACTCTTCCATTCGGTCAGCAATAGCAGAGACCAACGACGACATTTGTTCGCTATGCTTTATAGGCTATTGGCATGAATTTGTTGTGAATCGCGCCGTAAATTTATTTCACCTCTACGCACGCAGTGGCCCGTTTGTTAGGCGGTGTTTGAATCTTTGCTGGATACGCGCCGATGTGTTTGCGCGTGAACTTGTTCAATTCCACCCACAAGTCCCGGAGTGAATGCTTCAATGCCACCTGTTCACCAATGAAACACGCCAGTGTGCTATTTAGACTAACCACATTGGTGGACACCACGTGATGCCAGTGTAGCGAAACCAGTGGACGTGGTTTGTGTGCGTGGTGGTTTTTGTGAGAATCGATATAAGGCAGAAATCCTATGATGTAATTTCAAAACTTGACCACAGCAGCGTTGGTTGTCAGAGTGTGTTGTGCACATTCGCGTAGCCTTGGACACACGCTCTGGCGGTTTAGTGGCTTGCACGTGCTAACACGTTGGCGTGTGGATTCACTGATTATTTCCACGGTCATGGTTGCTGGTTTGTAAAAACTTGAGGTCAATCTGCACATGGTACTGTTAAAATCTTCAGCACGTTGCATCACGGTAGCGTCAGATTCGAGGGTTTACGTGAATATTGATTTAGATGCAGAGACTGGCATTGTGCAATCACTCAGTGATCCAATAGCGTTAGCACTTGGCGGTCTAACCGAAAATAATACTTATTCTCTTAGTAAGTTTTAAGAGAAATACGTGCTGCCAAATCCAAGTTGTGTCTTTGGTGGTCGTCATTCGTTCGCTTTATTAATTGTTCTAGAACGAAATCAGGGTATTTGGCATTGACTAAAATTCATAAGGTCATAAAACGATCTACCTGAATTTATTTATAGAATTTGGCCTTGAAGACAAATGAATCGCGAACTGTGCGTGGTGGATTGGTTTATTTGTCAACCAATCAGAACAAGTCAATTAAGGCTTAGTGAACACGCCACAGTCTGAGAACTCACGAGCTCATTCGACGATTGGCCACAGCTGACATGGGATGCATGGTATCAAGTGCTCTAGGAAGTTAATTCCATAGCTTTTATCAGCACAATCTCGTTAATTATATCTACTCTCAAGACTATTTACGGATGTTCACACAACTACTCTCAGAACTATTCCTATGTTGTGGTAATAGATTTCGTGACAACCTACAACCACAACTACCTGCCCATTTACTCTCATGACAATGGCCTTGCGTTTCATTGATCTATTACAATACACTATAAATAGTTTAGCGCTAGGCCCACACAGTTTTTGCAATAATACATGCAAGCTATTTAAACCCTTCGACAAAAGTGCTTTTCTGTTCCAAAAACCTTCCAGGGGAGCCAGCAGGTCTAGGAAATTTCTGGTTTGTTTAAACGATTTTTCCAAGTAAAAAAATCACATAATAGAATGTGATGCTTGTGTTGATTTTATTCAGCTTAAAGTTTTCTCAAAAAAATCGGTTTTGGCAGCAATAAAATCACCGGATAATCTTCGTTTATCTGACTAGTTTTTTGCAGAAACGGTGGCCCCAGTGAGTCGTTTTACTCCGATTTTTGTGTTGTAGGCTTATAGACAATGATTTTTTTTACAAAAAGGCCATAAACGCAATTTCTTATAAATTGAAATTCATGGTAAAATTTTAGCCAAAGGAGAGCGTTAGACTAGTAAAGTAACACATTTCGCGAAAACTACTAAAATTAAATCCGATAGGAGTGTATTAAGCGTTAGCGTGATAAATAATGCATTATTTACTTAGCACAAATCAAGACGCGTGACTACTGAAAGGAATATCTCAAGTCTTCAAAATAGTATTTAAGCTTGAAAGTGACTATTGTTGGTTAAACTGTATGTCTGAAAATCACAAGAGAGACGTAATCGTGCGCAAACTATCTAAAAGTGGCATTTTCGGGATCGTGAAGAAACTCACCATTAGGAGCCCCATTTTACGTCTAGATTCCATGGACTTGGCAGGCCATTTATACCGTTGATTTATTTATCGCCACTTCTGGCATTGAATTGGATTTCGTGGCATTTATAGGAGCGTAAATTGTACAGGCGAACCACAATAATTTGCATAGGATTATAAATATTGATTTCTTTTGCACTGGGTGATGCGTGCATCTAAGCGAACATTCCATTGGTTGGTTCCAAGGACAGAACAAATGAAGGACGTCAATGGTTTACTATCGGCAGTGATTTGAGCTCATGTCGGGAAGTGATGCAGGCATACATAACTGTATTCTTATTCACCACATTCCTTCGTAATCAGTTAGAATAACATTATTTTGATGTAAACTGGGTTAAATAGGCAGTCCTGATTTGAATGTACCCTCTACGAATGAGTCTAGAATGACAAATATGTTTACCAAGTTACCATGGCGATATCCTCGCTATTTGGTCGGACATTGACACATTACATTTACTAATGTTAAAAATCGTGTGCTGTTAAACTTTTTCATTCAGTTCTACATATACTTGGAAAACTTGAACTAAAAATGTCGATGGTATTTTGTTTTTATAATCGTATTTCGGCTTTTCGAGATAAGGATATATAGCCAACTTAACGTCCCTGGATTGTATATTTCCTCCTAAAAATATTCATACTCATCTCCTTAATTCTGAGAAATATCGAAAATCGGCAAGACGTGTTCTAGGAGAATACCTGGAAAAATATTTTTCCAGAAAATAATTCATTATTGTAGAATTTAAATATTTTACCACAATTCGCATTTGAAAACGCTGCAGTTAATTAAACCTACCCAAACACAAACATGATATACGAACACTTGAGCTCCTAATGTGCGTACCTTCAGAGTGGCGAGATTTTGATATTAGTCACCACAAAATTGTCCTTTTCCACATGCCCTCGAATGTTTTTTTTTTCTGACTGTTTAGTCTCGATCTCAAAATTGATAAACTAGCCAAACCTACGGTCCAGTTTACCTTTGAAATTTTAACACAAAAGCACTAATCTTTAAGGAGAACAAGTTTCTTCACAAATCTAAAACTTGGAACGTAAGTCAAATAACAATCTTTTTTAAGCCTGATACCTTCGTCAGAGGTTTTAATGTAGTGGTTAGTTAAATGTAAATTTAGAACCATTTTCTTACTATCAGTGTGATAGAACTAAAGCAGCAATTCAATATCGTTAAAAATAAAAATACGAACCACTGAATACAACAAGAGCAGGAATGCAACTGTAAACAAAATTTTGTTTACCGAGATTTGGTTTATTCCGTCTAGATAACATCAAAAGCAGCCTGGAACGATCGCGATTTTGCGAAAATTTGATAATAAGTGTTGGCCTTTCTGAAGTAAAAAATTTATTTGCCTTTGCGTAAACATACTGTGTCAGTGAATACTACTGACAAGGCGAAAACCAGTATAGTTAAACAACGGGACAAGCCTGAACAAAATAGTAAGTGTTGCGAAAAAACTGCTGGGTCTAACCTATCAAAGGAATCGAAAATCGATAAGCTGTTCCACTTAACTGGACTTCTATTGGTTATCTGCGTGCGCTAAAAAATGAACCTTCTTTATAATTACAGAAACACGACACGCAGAATCTCTCAGGAGGCGAGTTATCATTTGCTACTTCAATTCCAGTGAAATCGAGAATTTTTATTGAAATCTATTTTACTTACCAAATTTGATTAACCAAAAGCAAATAGTAACCAGAAATGAATCTTTGTCCGATTATTAGGGGCTCAAATTCCCCTATACTAAATGGCATCACTTAGAAAGTAGACTAACAAGGAACTAAGGGAACTTAAAAATCAATTTTCTTCAACTTCCTGATTTATATAAACATGGTATTCTTTTGTCTTCTTATAGTTATAATTTGAGATTGGGACATCGATTTAAATGGCATTTGGGATTTCCATTTTAAAGTAGACAACTTTACTCATTAAAATAAGACTATTTGCTTAGGAAACCTAATTTTGTATTCGTTCCCAGCAAACATTGTCAATAAGGATTTCAACCTCCTCTC